TCCTGACTTTTTTCATAATTCCAACTTTTTCACAAAAATCTCAATTTGTTACCACTGCTACGCTGACGACACCCAATTAATTCTGTCCTTTCCCCGCTCAGAGACCCAGGTCGTCGCACGCATCTCTGCTTGTCTAGCTGACATCTCTCAGTGGATGTCTGCTCACCACCTCAAGCTCAACCTTGACAAGACTGAGCTGCTCTTCCTCCCGGGAAAAGATTGTCCCACTCTTGACCTAACAATCAACATCGGCACCTCAGTTGTTTCCCCGACTCAGACTGCAAGGAATCTGGGTGTGACCCTAGATAACAACCTGTCCTTCACTGCAAACATCGCTGCTACAACCCGTTGCTGCAGATACACGCTTTACAACATCAGGAAGATACGTCCCCAGCTGACTCAGAAAGCGACTCAGGTTCTGGTCCAGGCTCTCGTCATCTCACGCCTAGACTACTGCAACTCCCTCCTGGCTGGTCTACCTGCATGTGCCATCCGACCTCTGCAGCTCATCCAGAATGCAGCGGCTCGTCTGGTTTTCAACCTTCCTAAATTCTCCCACACCACTCCGCTCCTCCGCTCCCTTCACTGGCTTCCGGTAACTTCTAGAATCCACTTCAAGACACTGGTACTTGCTTACCATGCTGCGAATGGATCTGGCCCTTCCTACATCCAGGACATGGTTAAACCGTACACCCCAGCGCGTGCACTACGCTCTGCATCAGCCAAACGACTCGTTGCGCCCTCGCTGCGAGGGGGACCCAAGTTCCCATCGGCGAAAACACGTGGGTTTGCTATCCTGGCTCCAAGATGGTGGAATGAGCTCCCCATTGACATCAGGACGGCAGATAGCTTGCACATCTTCCGGCGCAAACTGAAAACTCATCTCTTTCGACTCCACTTCGAGCGTTAGAACGATTAACGAAGCACTTTTATACCAATAAAGGACTGGATTACCTAAAGCCAGTTGAGTAGCACTTGAAATGTTTGGCTCTATGAAACCTGATATACTTATATGATTCTGTTTTCTTCAAGGTTGTGTCTTCCTGGTCGAATGTACTTATTGTAAGTCGCTTTGGATAAAAGCGTCAGCTAAATGCAATGTAATGTAATGTAATGTAATTGTTGAAACAATTCTGACTTATTTAAAAAAAAATCTCACTTTTTTTTTATTCCTGACTTTTAATAAATGTTCTAATTGTATTAAAAAAACTTTTTTTAATACAATTCGGACTTTTTTCAAATTCTCACATTTTTCTCAAAAATCTCACTTTGGAAAAGTTCAGACTTTTTTCACTTTTGATTTTATTTAAAAATTGGAAACATTTTCCTTCAAATCTCAAAAAACTCACTTTTTTTAATTCCTGACTTTTAACATTTTTGTAACTCCTTTAAATTCAGACATTGTTCTGCTGTCTTTCATAATGCACTGCAGTGCAGATTAGCCTACTGGACGAACCCGAGAGAGCAGGCAGGAGATTTTGGATTCAAGATTACAGGTGATAAAATCTGAACGGCAAAACACGTGACATATTTACACCGTTAACATCCATCACTTTGAACTGATGGAAAATCTCACCTTTTTTTTAATTATTCCTGTCTTTTAACATATAGAAATATAACATATATGTTAAAAGAAACTTTTTGAAAACAAATCTGACCTTTTTGAAAATGACTTTCACATTTGACATTTTTTTCTATAAAATCTCACTTTTTTTCTAAGAAGTCTCAATTTTTTCTATACAATTTCACTAAGAATGTCTTGACCGAAAGAACGAGATCGCGGATACAAGCGGCCGAGATGGGTTTTCTCCGCAGGGTGGCTGGCGTCTCCCTTAGGGATAAGGTGAGAAGTTCGGTCATCAGGGAGGGACTCGGAGTTGAGCCGCTCCTCCTTCGCGTCGAAAGGAGCCAGTTGAGGTGGTTCGGGCACCTAGTTAGGATGCCACCTGGGCGCCTCCCTAGGGAGGTGTTCCAGGCACGTCCAGCTGGGAAGAGACCAAGGGGTAGACCTAGGACCAGGTGGAGGGATTATATCTCTTCGCTGGCCTGGGAGCGCCTTGGGACCCCCCAGTCAGAGCTGGTTGATGTGGGGAAAGGAACGTTTGGGGCTCTCTGCTGGAACTGCTACCCCCGAGACCCGACCACGGATAAGCGGGAGAAGATGGATGGATGGATTTCACTAAGAAATAATTATCCAATTGTTCTTTAAATTGCCGCTAAAAACAAGATTACAGGTGATAAAATCTGAAAGGCTGTGTGCACCATTAAAATAAATCACCTTGTAACAGAGTCAACACATTACTCACAAAGAACTGGAGAAATATGCTACTTAGATATTAAGGAATATAAATAATACAATAAGTAAAAGTCCTGCTTTTTACCTAATAAACAGATTATTAACATCAGACTATAATAATACAGTAAAAAGGACTGATGTGCTACTTTAACACAAAGTTTGCTACTTCTAGAAAATGTAAAATATAAAAAAAAATACAACTCAAACTGTTTCTTTTTTCATTTAATGAATTATTTCTGCTGAGAGAAGCGATTTCAAGTCCCGTCACAATGATAGAAACGTCTGATGTGACAGAAACACGGAACAGATTCAAGAACACAGGAGAAGAGATAACTCAAGGTTAAAAAAAGAAAATGTGTATTTCAGCCCGTGTCCACAAACCCTTCAATTCTACCAGTTTCTGTAAAATATTCTACAAAAAGCAACACGAAGAATAAGAAGCCGGAAGAAATCAACAAGTAAACAAACAGCGATGCATTCATGGACTTCAGGATTCAGCAACTCCTGTCATTGATTTCTAATATTAATTACACTAGATTTTATTCAGGCATTTTTAAAACAGCTGGAAAAAACGCGTAGAAAAATAACAAAAGGCATATTCTGGAGAAAATCGTGCTTAAAAAACGGCGCGAGGGGAACGAATAAGAAGATCAAATATGTAGGAGTCAGATTTCACTGATTAGGAAGGATTTCTCAAAACAGCAGATTATTGGTCTGTTTGCAGATCAGAGTACACCAACGTTGTATATATTAGAAATGCATAGCGCAGGTCTCCAGCTCAGAGATGTTGGGCGATTAGCATAGATTGGGTTATTTTGCATACAGTTAAAACAGTTTTGGAGTGTTTATGGAGGTTAACGAAGATGTCGAGTCCATTTCTGACATTTCCAGGATCAAGAATGTCAGTTTTAACCAGAAAGTGGTCATATTTGAACTCCAGGGGCTGATTTTGATGCATTTTGGGTCGATTTTAAAGTGTTAGGCGACTAAAAAGTGCCATTTATGACCCTAAAATAGTCAGAAATGTATTCAGCATCCTCAATGTACCTCAAGAACAACTCCAAAACTGTCCAAATCAATGCCAAGTAATGCAACTTATGCCAATACGCTAGTTGAGGATGTTGAATCAATTTCTGACATTTCCAGGATCAGCAAATTTCAGTTTTAACCAGAAAGTGGTTATATTTGTACTCCAGGGGGGCTGGCTCAATTTTAAAGAGTTAGGCGACTCAAAACTGCCATTTCTGATCCTAGAAATGTCAGAAATTGATTCAACATCCTCAATATACCTCAAAAAACACTCCAAAACTGTCAAAATCAATGCAACGTATGCCAATTGTGCTAATTGCCCAACATATGCAGGTTAGCACCCGGCAGTTTCTATGTGCTGGAGACCCTATCACACATTTCTAACATCAACATTTGGGGTACTCGACATTTCTGAGTTCACTATGCTGATAACTGGAGTATAATGCAAACCTTAAATATAATAGCATGAGGCTAATTGTCACCGTTTGAAGTGAGTCTGATATTTATTTGTACAACTAAACATGAAGTGCAGTTTTAAGTGTTTATCAGAGCTGTAAGCCCCTCAGGTGGATTTATGATTTAAGTTAATGACTAAACATCAGCAAATTACATTTCACATGATGTATATTTGCTTTGTATCTGCTGGGGTTTCTCATTTCATACGAGAGTCTATGAAATTGTAACGATTGAGTGTGTTTTTAAGCCGATAGATTGATCAGCAACTGCATCAAAAACATATAATATGATTAAATGGTTAATAAAGCAAACATTATAATAATCTAATTCCAGTTTCTTACATTTTAGATACAAAATGATATTGTCGTTGTCAGTAAGAAAGAAAAATTGCATTCTGAGCGAATTTGAACAGGTTTTCATTCAATGATTTGATATTTTCTGGACTAAATGATTAACTAAGATGCTAATTGACCCATTAAACTGTGGATGCCGCCTTAGTGGTCTGTGTGGTGATTAAACAGAAGCATGCTAGCAGGGTGAACAAGCAGAAACTCAAACTCCATCGATAGAGGAACCACGGGGGAAAGTGGATCATTCACGTGTTTACTCTATACTGTGTCTCCTGCATGTGGAGCCTTTTTCTTCAGCCAATAAATAATCCGTTAAAACCGCCTGGAAGACGAACAGGACCAGATTTGTGGCGTAAGAAACTGAAACAGCATTGATCACGGCCTCAACACCTTCTTAGCAACAACAGAACGTCACCACAGAGCTTCGAGGATATAAACATTTGTACAATCTTTAGAAAATAATTCACATTGACTGTGCTCAATCTGTCGTCTGGAAACAGTTCATTCCACATCGAACAGGACGTTGTTTCTCTCCTCAGTAAAACCTCTTGTTCCTCTCCTGTCTCTTCTGGAAAACCACCGCTCCCACCACGGCGCAGACTACGATTCCCAGCAGAGCGCAGAGAAGAAGGAGAAACACTTTCCACCCAGTGAGGGGCGTACCACGGAAATTTCCAGTGGGATCGTCAATGTTATCTGTGAGGATCAAAGTAAGATACAAGGCTTTGAAACACACAGACATTAGTATGTAGTGTCTCTACTTTAAAGAGTCCTCTCCTGCTGATGTTCAGGTGTATATCAGTATGTAGTGTCTCTACTTTAAAGAGTCCTCTCCTGCTGATGTTCAGGTGTATATCAGTATGTAGTGTCTCTACTTTAAAGAGTCCTCTCCTGCTGATGTTCAGGTGTATATCAGTATGTAGTGTCTCTACTTTAAAGAGTCCTCTCCTGCTGATGTTCAGCTGTATATCAGTATGTAGTGTCTCTACTTTAAAGAGTCCTCTCCTGCTAATGTTCAGGTGTATATCAGTATGTAGTGTCTCTACTTTAAAGAGTCCTCTCCTGCTGATGTTCAGGTGTATATCAGTATGTAGTGTCTCTACTTTAAAGAGTCCTCTCCTGCTGATGTTCAGGCGTATATCAGTATGTAGTGTCTCTACTTTAAAGAGTCCTCTCCTGCTGATGTCCAGGTGTATATCAGTATGTAGTGTCTCTACTTTAAAGAGTCCTCTCCTGCTGATGTTCAGGTGTATATCAGTAATTAGTGTCCTCTACTTTAAAGAGTCCTCTCCTGCTGATGTTCAGGTGTAGATCAGTATGTAGTGTCTCTACTTTAAAGAGTCCTCTCCTGCTGATGTTCAGACGTTATCAGTATGTAGTGTCTCTACTTTAAAGAGTCCTCTCCTGCTGATGTTCAGGTGTATATCAGTATGTAGTGTCTCTACTTTAAAGAGTCCTCTCCTGCTGATGTTCAGGTGTATATCAGTATGTAGTGTCTCTACTTTAAAGAGTCCTCTCCTGCTGATGTTCAGGTGTATATCAGTATGTAGTGTCTCTACTTTTAAAGAGTCCTCTCCTGCTGATGTTCAGGTGTATATCAGTATGTAGTGTCTCTACTTTAAGAGTCCTCTCCTGCTGATGTTCAGGTGTATATCAGTATGTAGTGTCTCTACTTTAAAGAGTCCTCTCCTGCTGATGTTCAGGTGTATATCAGTGTGTAGTGTCTCTACTTTAAAGAGTCCTCTCCTGCTGATGTTCAGGTGTATATCAGTATGTAGTGTCTCTACTTTAAAGAGTCCTCTCCTGCTGATGTTCAGGTGTATATCAGTATGTAGTGCCTCTACTTTAAAGAGTCCTCTCCTGCTGATGTTCAGGTGTATATCAGTATGTAGTGTCTCTACTTTAAAGAGTCCTCTCCTGCTGATGTTCAGGTGTATATCAGTATGTAGTGTCTCTACTTTAAAGAGTCCTCTCCTGCTGATGTTCAGGTGTATATCAGTATGTAGTGTCTCTACTTTAAAGAGTCCTCTCCTGCTGATGTTCAGGTGTATATCAGTATGTAGTGTCTCTACTTTAAAGAGTCCTCTCCTGCTGATGTTCAGGCGTATATCAGTATGTAGTGTCTCTACTTTAAAGAGTCCTCTCCTGCTGATGTCCAGGTGTATATCAGTATGTAGTGTCTCTACTTTAAAGAGTCCTCTCCTGCTGATGTTCAGGTGTATATCAGTATATAGTGTCTCTACTTTAAAGAGTCCTCTCCTGCTGATGTTCAGGTGTATATCAGTATGTAGTGTCTCTACTTTAAAGAGTCCTCTCCTGCTGATGTTCAGGCGTATATCAGTATGTAGTGTCTCTACTTTAAAGAGTCCTCTCCTGCTGATGTTCAGGTGTATATCAGTATGTAGTGTATCTACTTTAAAGAGTCCTCTCCTGCTGATGTTCAGGTGTATATCAGTATGTAGTGCCTCTACTTTAAAGAGTCCTCTCCTGCTGATGTTCAGGTGTATATCAGTATGTAGTGTCTCTACTTTAAAGAGTCCTCTCCTGCTGATGTTCAGGTGTATATCAGTATGTAGTGTTTCTACTTTAAAGAGTCATCTCCTGCTGATGTTCAGGTGTATATCAGTATGTAGTGTCTCTACTTTAAAGAGTCCTCTCCTGCTGATGTTCAGGTGTATATCAGTATGTAGTGCCTCTACTTTAAAGAGTCCTCTCCTGCTGATGTTCAGGTGTATATCAGTATGTAGTGTCTCTACTTAAAAGAGTCCTCTCCTGCTGATGTCCAGGTGTATATCAGTATGTAGTGTCTCTACTTTAAAGAGTCCTCTCCTGCTGATGTTCAGGCGTATATCAGTATGTAGTGTCTCTACTTTAAAGAGTCCTCTCCTGCTGATGTTCAGGTGTATATCAGTATGTAGTGTCTCTACTTTAAAGAGTCCTCTCCTGCTGATGTTCAGGTGTATATCAGTCTGTAGTGTCTCTACTTTAAAGAGTCCTCTCCTGCTGATGTTCAGGTGTATATCAGTATGTAGTGCCTCTACTTTAAAGAGTCCTCTCCTGCTGATGTTCAGGAGTATATCAGGATGTAGTGTCTCTACTTTAAAGAGTCCTCTCCTGCTGATGTTCAGGTGTATATCAGTATGTAGTGTCTCTACTTTAAAGAGTCCTCTCCTGCTGATGTTCAGGTGTATATCAGTCTGTAGTGTCTCTACTTTAAAGAGTCCTCTCCTGCTGATGTTCAGGTGTATATCAGTATGTAGTGCCTCTACTTTAAAGAGTCCTCTCCTGCTGATGTTCAGGAGTATATCAGGATGTAGTGTATCTACTTTAAAGAGTCCTCTCCTGCTGATGTTCAGGTGTATATCAGTATGTAGTGCCTCTACTTTAAAGAGTCCTCTCCTGCTGATGTTCAGTATATCAGGATGTAGTGTCTCTACTTTAAAGAGTCCTCTCCTGCTGATGTTCAGGTGTATATCAGTATGTAGTGTCTCTACTTTAAAGAGTCCTCTCCTGCTGATGTTCAGGTGTATATCAGTCTGTAGTGTCTCTACTTTAAAGAGTCCTCTCCTGCTGATGTTCAGGTGTATATCAGTATGTAGTGTCTCTACTTTAAAGAGTCCTCTCCTGCTTATGTTCAGGTGTATATCAGTATGTAGTGCCTCTACTTTAAAGAGTCCTCTCCTGCTGATGTTCAGGTGTATATCAGTATGTAGTGTCTCTACTTTAAAGAGTCCTCTCCTGCTGATGTGCAGGTGTATATCAGTATGTAGTGTCTCTACTTTAAAGAGTCCTCTCCTGCTGATGTGCAGGTGTATATCAGTATGTAGTGTCTCTACTTTAAAGAGTCCTCTCCTGCTGATGTTCAGGTGTGTATCAGTATGTAGTGTCTCTACTTTAAAGAGTCCTCTCCTGCTGATGTTCAGGTGTATATCAGTATGTAGTGTCTCTACTTTAAAGAGTCCTCTCCTGCTGATGTTCAGGTGTATATCAGTATGTAGTGTCTCTACTTTAAAGAGTCCTCTCCTGCTGATGTTCAGGTGTATATCAGTATGTAGTGTCTCTACTTTAAAGAGTCATCTCCTGCTGATGTTCAGGTGTATATCAGTATGTAGTGTCTCTACTTTAAAGAGTCCTCTCCTGCTGATGTTCAGGTGTATATCAGTATGTAGTGCCTCTACTTTAAAGAGTCCTCTCCTGCTGATGTTCAGGTGTATATCAGTATGTTGTGTCTCTACTTTAAAGAGTCCTCTCCTGCTGATGTTCAGGTGTATATCAGTATGTAGTGTCTCTACTTTAAAGAGTCCTCTCCTGCTGATGTTCAGGTGTATATCAGTATGTAGTGTCTCTACTTTAAAGAGTCCTCTCCTGCTGATGTTCAGGTGTATATCAGTATGTAGTGTCTCTACTTTAAAGAGTACTCTGCTCTACCTTTGGGGGACTTCAGGAGGCTGACGCTCGGCTCTATTTTGGTCCAGTCCTCATTCTCTTCTTCAGGCGTGTGTTCCACCATCAGCTGGTACATCTTCATAGAGATGATGTCATGGTTATCTGGAAAATAAAACAAGAGTTCAAACTATTACCGAATCAATACCAGACTCTGTAGAATAATGTTAAAACGGTGCCACAGTGTCAAATGATCATATAATCATTTAAAACATATAGTCTTATACTGTGATTGCCTTTTACTCTGTTAAAGTGTATTGTTAGTCTTGTATGTGTTTAACAGAGACAGATGTTCAGGGTTTACATTTCAGGAGGTTAAAGACTGGGGGCTTAGGGTTTAGTGATGAGATGGAAGACCAGCTGTTTCCTCTCATGAATACACAGAGAGACTGAGCAGAACTTCTTTCTCCTCTGAGGGTGAAGCTGCTCTGTTCCTGCATTTCAGATCCACGTCACTTTATATTGACTTTCTTTATTACTTTATTAAATATAACAAAAGACCATGAATCATTTATCACTTTCTCTTAAGAATTTCCTCCACAGTGAACTTTAAAGAGTTCCTAGTGGGCTTTATGACTTTTTGTTTTGGTTGTTTATTAAAGGACAGATGTTCCGCTCAGCAGAGATGGCAAAAGTACACACCTCCTTTACTCAAGTAGAAGTACAGATACTCGTGTTTAAAAATACTCCGGTGAAAGTAGAAGTACTGACTAAACTTCTTTACTCAAGTAAAAGTAAAGAGGCTTTGAAGTGTACTTCAGTAAAAAGTACCCATAACTAGCAGCTGCTTTAAAGAGTACCTGACCTCCCTTTATATTAATAGAACAATAATATCATTGTTAGCTAATGAATGTTTCCATGCTGAACAACGGCAACATGACAACGTTTCCATTGGTCCCTCTTCTTTAGAGAAGACCAGGAAATGATGGATACACGGATCGTGTTCAAATCAATAGGCACGCAATGACTCTAAAGAATAATGATCACGCATCAAACACACATTCAGACTAAAGGAACCAGCTGTTTGGAAAATGAGAGAAGTAGAAAGTACAGGTATTTGTGTTCAACATGTAAGAAGTAGAAAGTACAGGTATTTGGGTTCAACATGTAAGAAGTAGAAAGTACAGGTATTTGAGTTCAACATGTGAGAAGTAGAAAGTACAGGTATTTGAGTTCAACATGTAAGAAGTAGAAAGTACAGGTATTTGTGTTCAACATGTAAGAAGTTGAAAGTACAGGTATTTGTGTTCAACATGTAAGAAGTAGAAAGTACAGGTATTTGAGTTCAACATGTAAGAAGTAGAAAGTACAGGTATTTGAGTTCAACATGTGAGAAGTAGAAAGTACAGGTATTTGAGTTCAACATGTGAGAAGTAGAAAGTACAGGTATTTGAGTTCAACATGTGAGAAGTAGAAAGTACAGGTATTTGAGTTCAACATGTGAGAAGTAGAAAGTACAGGTATTTGAGTTCAACATGTGAGAAGTAGAAAGTACAGGTATTTGAGTTCAACATGTAAGAAGTAGAAAGTTCAGGTATTTGAGTTCAACATGTGAGAAGTAGAAAGTACAGGTATTTGAGTTCAACATGTAAGAAGTAGAAAGTACAGGTATTTGAGTTCAACATGTAAGAAGTAGAAAGTATAGGTATTTGTGTTCAACATGTGAGAAGTAGAAAGTACAGGTATTTGGGTTCAACATGTAAGAAGTAGAAAGTACAGGTATTTGAGTTCAACATGTGAGAAGTAGAAAGTACAGGTATTTGAGTTCAACATGTAAGAAGTAGAAAGTACAGGTATTTGAGTTCAACATGTAAGAAGTAGAAAGTACAGGTATTTGTGTTCAACATGTAAGAAGTTGAAAGTACAGGTATTTGAGTTCAACATGTAAGAAGTAGAAAGTACAGGTATTTGAGTTCAACATGTGAGAAGTAGAAAGTACAGGTATTTGAGTTCAACATGTGAGAAGTAGAAAGTACAGGTATTTGAGTTCAACATGTGAGAAGTAGAAAGTTCAGGTATTTGAGTTCAACATGTGAGAAGTAGAAAGTACAGGTATTTGAGTTCAACATGTAAGAAGTAGAAAGTTCAGGTATTTGAGTTCAACATGTGAGAAGTAGAAAGTACAGGTATTTGAGTTCAACATGTAAGAAGTAGAAAGTACAGGTATTTGAGTTCAACATGTAAGAAGTAGAAAGTACAGGTATTTGTGTTCAACATGAGAGAAGTAGAAAGTACAGGTATTTGTGTTCAACATGTAAGAAGTTGAAAGTACAGGTATTTGAGTTCAACATGTAAGAAGTAGAAAGTACAGGTATTTGGGTTCAACATGTAAGAAGTAGAAAGTACAGGTATTTGTGTTCAACATGTAAGAAGTAGAAAGTACAGGTATTTGTGAAGTCAAATAAAGAAGTCAAAGTAAAAAGTCGTCAGAAAAATAAGTATTGGAGTAAAGTACTGATACCAGAAAAATGTACTTAAGTACAGGAACAAAGTATTTGTACTCCACTACTTCCCACCTCTGGCGCTCAGACCCACCTGACAGATCTCCTGTAGCTGCTGACGCTCCGAAGAAATATCCGGTGGGAAGTCTCACTCCTCCGATATCGATGCACTCTCTCCACTCGTTCTTATCCTCCACATCGATCATCAGCTGCAGGAGAGACAGAGATGTTAGAGATGCAATATAACACGGGACTAACTAAAAAGAAAATATATTTTACTAGCTGACAACTTTTTGTATTCCCGATGTTTGTTTTGTTGTGTTTTTGAGTTTATATTTACTCTCATGTTTAGCAATTATTTGATTGACATTTTTTGCTCAGAAGACTTGATTTCCTACGTTTTGATGCACGCTCTAATCAAGCCACATCATAATATACTCAATCTGACATCATAATTATGTTTTAACTTCATATATTTTCTTTATATGTTAGGATTATTATTATTATATTGAAGTCCAGCTACATGCTTACTGGGCATGACACCCAATGGCATTCAGTCTAAATGTGCATCAAAACTCTCGAGCACGCCTTTCAACTATAAACACATAGTTTCATGGACTGGAACGTCACAGCTGTTTCAAATACTAAATCATTATCTACTTTAAAAGTATACAGTGTGCAGGGGTTAAGTTGGGATTTGATATGTGGGGGGGCTCTGTGTGGAGGTGCGAGAGGGGGGCGGAGGTCGAGGATCTCATTATTTGACCTTAAGGGATATAGGCCTACACTGTGGCCCTAAAGCAACTGCTCCATTATCTGTATCAAATGCACATTGATGCCACAAAATGTCACAATACGAATAGAAAGTACTACAAATAAACTGGAATTCATTTTAAATTATTAATATATATATACACAAAAAAAGGTTTACAATCATCCAACCTTCAAATTGCTTTTTTAAATCAACACTGCTCTGCACACTTGCTAAAGAACATTTGTGTGGAAATCTCAATTCATTTGTAGGGCTGCGCGAGTATGGCCAAAAGTATGGGAGTAAATCTCACTGTAAACTATTTGATCATCACCAAATTCTGTGTGACCGATCATAACTCAGATTTATGCAGACATACATTTAGCATGGTGTACAGGGCCGTTTTTTGGCATAGGCAGTCGCCTAGGGCTCCAGATCTAGGGGGCGCTGCGCTGGCAGCTCTGGGAGGGAAAAAAAATGTTTGACTGTTTGCGCTCATCCTAATTTTCAGCCTTGATGTAACAACATTCATAATTAAGTAAATGTAACACCCTTTTCTCCCCGGTTACACGTTTCATTTGCCCTGCACGATGGGCGCTGTAAGAGATGAAAGTGGGGGGTGTTGGCTTATCAGGCGCCCGCAGCTCACAGCCAAAGTGGGCATGGGAGCGAGCGAGAGAGATAAAAGCAATTTATGTAAACAAATATTTCCAAGGCACTCCTTTATAATTATTTGGATAAACAGGTTTGAAAACATTTCAATATATACTATAGGACAGTAAACCACAAATATCGTTTAAAACTTGAGATACAAAAATATGCATGAATAAATAAATGTTAAGGTAAAATAAGATATAAATTAACAACAAAAATAAGATGAGTTAGATTTATTTGTTATTGGCTATGGTGGGTTATTGGCTATGTTCACATACTTATTTGATTATTAAAATGTAAACCGATCTTTTTCATATGGGTGTTTAGAGTTGTACCCCCTAGATCAGGTCTCTAGTAATCGTGTGCTCAAAGTGCACATGTTCATACAATACTGAATACATTTGAAGCCTTTTTGGTGTATTACCTATGTCAATACGTTTCTGTATTGTATTGGTCTTTTGTAGAGATTTTTCATTTATTTTTTATATATTCTATTGCAGGGGTCGGCAACAGGCGGACCGCGGTCCGGATCCGGACCCAGACCTGTATGGACCCGGACCTATAATCAATACATTAATAGGGGATTTCAACGTTTACGGGGTGATTCCATTTTAAACCGCCGCCGACAGGGGGCGAAAGAGAGGAGTGAGCGATACAGGGAGAGAAACACAGAAGAAGAGATGAGAGCGCGCCAGAGAGAAGCGGAGAGGAAAGTGAGTGAAGAGAATAATTAGCGATACAGGGAGAGAAGCGGAGAGGAGAGTGAACAGGCGTGTTAGCGGCAGACAGGGAGAGACTAATAATTACACATGGCGCTCTCCAAGAAGAGGAACGTGGACAGTGAGAACAGAGCTTTGAACCCTGAGTGGACGGACTCGTTCATGTTCATCCTGCCCACTGGGAGCACAGAACCAGTGTGTCTCATTTGTTCAGAGACCGTGGCGCTCATTAAAAGTGCCAAAACCGCCACTATGAGACAAAACACAAAGTGTTTGACCAAACATTCCCTCTCAAGTCAGAACTGAGGTCACAAAACATAAGCAGTCTCAGAGCCCGATATGATCAGTCCACCAGGATCAAAATTAAAACTAAATATGGTTCCAGGGCAGGCTAACCAATGAGCTAACCGAGGCTAACCAATGAGCTAACCGAGGCTAACCGAGGCTAACCAATGAGCACCTGCATGTGTATGTGAATGGCCCTGACTCCATGTCAGCCCAGATGTAAACTCCTGGCAGGACAAGCTCAATTCCCAAATTGAATTTTAAAAAAAAGCGAGTGAGGGGACTGCAATATAAGAGGGAAAGAAAGAGAAACTTTAAAACTGTTCAATTGTTATGATGTAAAGACTGATATTGTTCTATAATCGTCTGAAACTGTTAAGTCATGATGTGAAACGGTTAACAAAGAAGAAGGGAAACTCAAGCTGCTGCTACACTTTATTTTATTTATCTAAAATGAAGCACTTTTAAGATGCACACATTTTTCAAAAGCTATTTTATTTATTTTCTCTGTTCCCGAGAGGAACATTTCACATATCCACAGTATTTACTGTATATCTGTAGAGTTCAATGTTAATTGACAATAAATATTGTTGTTTTTGAATTATAATTGG